CTACAGTAATACTGAAGGTTTTCATTGTAAGAACATCTAAACACCGTCCCTTTAGTATATAACTGGCAGAAAACATGACTGAACAAAGGCTACAACTGGACAGATTGAGCTAGTCTGGTTGGTAAATATTTCTGTAAACTGTTACTTCTTAATTACTGCTTAATTCTGATGAATTGCTATTACTGAACGCAAACATTTTCTGTCTCTGATAAGGCTGATATGCTTAGTCACTCAACAGCTTTAAGAGCAAAGAAATGACTCAGACCGGAGCCTGTGCTGGAACAATAACTGAAGTCAGATCCTGGAATATTTTTGAGGACATGTAGGCTGATTATTGTAATGGAAGCCTGTGATTTCTTGGAAGTGGGCAGAGAAGAACTAACTTTTTGCAGCGTTTAGTCATCTTGAATTAGTAAAGTTATTGTTTCCTTTATCGATAATTCGGAATGTCTTGGCTAATTTAGTTTGGAAATGTTTTCCACATCAGTTGCCTGCTAATATAAAGGTTTTTGTCACGACATTAGCAGTTTTTTGTACAGAAGGACTGTATTTTCCTAGAGAAATTAATAAGTGCAGTGATGGATAGAAGTATGGTTCTTTAAGTCCAAACAAAAAGTTTGGAAGGGATTTAATCTGGTTTTGATATTTTTATGAAGAAGAAAATTAGAAAAGGAAAGATGTAATCTTGGCTTTTACATTTAAAATGACAAAATTTGTAAAATAAAAAAAAAAAAAAAAAAAAACTGCTCTAATCTGTATGCCCTTAGCTAGCAAGTATACTAAAAAATCTGCCTACCAGTTACCCAAACACGCATCCATTGATATTGACATTTGAAATTATGATCTCTAAAATGTTTGGGAGCTGTTTTTAAGTTTTGAACATAATCTTATAGCATCCATTAATTATTATTCTGTTTGTTTGTTTGTTTTTATCTGTACAGACAATTCATGCAGAGCTCTCAAAGCTGGTGAAGAAGCACTCTGAGCAGAGGGGAGCAGAGCAGGCCATGTACAAGAAGATGCTAGGAAATCCTTCTAGTAGTAGCAGTACGCACAAATCAAGAGCCAAGTCTTCATGGGTGAGAAATGCTAAAGCAAGAAATTGCAAGAATTGTAAAATTCATGGCTAAGATTTTCCACCATTTTTGGTCTATTGGTAAATCAACAAACTATAATTTTTTGTTTTTTTTTTACTTTATGTAAAGTTTCATTAAAATTAGGGACATTTTTTTTAGTGCTCCATGTTGTCGACCTGATAAATTGACCCCCACTACCACTGGTTTTCTATCCACAGAGTCTCAGTTGGAAGTGGCTTTTTGGTGCAACTGCTGTAGCCATTGGTGGAGTAGCTCTCTCTGTTGTCATAGCGGCCAGAAACTGAGGTGAACCAGGAGAGTCAAAGGCAGCGTGGGGAGCCTAAAACACTGAAGCACATCTGCCAGTGCCAGCAGTCCTTCAATAAAAGGACATGAAAATGTCAGGTGGTTAATCACCTCCTTACCGTTCCTCTCTTTTCTCTACTATGTTTGAGAACTATATGTGACAATTGGCAACTGCATATGGGAAAATGTATTTCCAGCCTTGTAGATGTATAGGTTAATGCATCTTTCTTATGTTCCCGCTGTCTGTCGTTCTTAGTATTCCGTATGTGGAACTAATTGTTAATCGAGGTTGAAGATATTTTTAACACATAAATATTAAATTGTTATTCTACAGATATAGTTTGAAAGCATTGAACCGTGTTTGTTCAGTGATATTTATTACCCAAGTGATGTGATTTCAGTGAATGGTACAGTGTTCCCTCTCAAACATCTTAGGTCCTCAGGATGGTTGGCTGTGTGCTGGCCTGTTTACGCTCTGTATAGACTCTGTATGTAAATACACTTACTGACCAAAGTAATCAGAACACCTCTATAAATCATTGCAATACAGCAGTCCTAAATTAACCTGTTGATTTGTGATGAGTCTCCTATAAATTGTAGAGTAAAACATGAGGCAGAACAAACCCTAATAACGTTCTTTGCTTTAATTTTTAATTCACGGCTGATATGTTTCTTTATATCTTACTAATCCTGTTATTAGCCATCCATTATTAGGAAAGTTTATTTAATTTCACTAAGCTATGCTTTATTTTCCACTTTTGTAATGTTGATCATTTTCTCTACTGGACCATTAGATTGCATTTTTAAGTTAATTTCTCATGTTTGTTCCAAAACTATAAAATGTAAGATTGTGCTAAATGTTTGGTTTCCTCAGAATAGATGAGGAGAAGCTGCATTATGCCAACTGGGTAACTATTCAAAAGAGCTCCTGGCATTCCTTGCTTTTCTTAGTTTTTGTATTCCTCACAAATAAATATCTTATTAAAGTAAAGTTTGTTTTGAGTTTGTTTATTTTTTTAACTATTGAAAACCTTTAAATGATTATGTTATATCTTCTCCAGTTGGAGAAAAATCCCTGTTGTGGTTATAAATATGTATTACAAGAGGGTGTAGAGGTGACACAGCAGGGACATTTCCCATCCTGTGAATTAGGTCATGTATTTCTCGTACAATAATCAGAAGTCAATTGCTAGATATTTATCCTCAGTGTTTGTTTACAGCTGAGCATTCTAAAAGCTGCAGCATATTTGTTTACGTTGTACGAATGCTTTGCTTATCTTTTTACTCCTGACTTACTTCCTGAATGGTGCTTCGTGACAAAATTAGAGGACCTGTCTTTCCTGATTCTGATGCATCACTGCCCAGCAGATCTGTCCCTGCACTGAGTTAGATGTCCATTTATCCTGTAACATACAGTCATAAATTCAGTGAATATGACTCTTAATTTCATCCTTAATTCAAAGTATTTTTCTCACATGTTGTTTTTTTTTATGTTTATATTGCACTGAAGTGTGAAAAGGTTTGATAAAGTTTAAAAAGTTAAATACTATTTTATGCATTTAGATTAAAGGATTTTTTTTAACCTGGAGACCTGTCCAGGGTGTACTTCTCATCTCGCCCATTGACTGCTGGAGATGGGCACCAGCACCCCTCGCAACCCCACTCGGCATGTTAGAAAATGGATGGATGGATGGATTAATTTTTTAACAACTAGAATATTAGTTTAAAATCAAAGATAATTTAGCAGATTGAAATTCCTCATAATGTATGGTACATTGATAGTGATACAAAAAGCAATTATTTAAAATTTTAGACGATTAGGTACCTTTTTTTTTTTTTTTTTTGTTCAGACCCATAGAGCCCCAAACATTGAATTACTAATAAAACATGGGTGAGTTGTATGAGTCATCTGTATTGATATTTATGAATGGTAAAATGTTTTTACATACAAATATTTTTAAAGAGTATCTAATGCAACCACAAAGCTACATAATTACATGAAAATAAGTCCTGAGGGTAAATATGTATTCATTTGTTACAAATATATCTGTTAAGCTTGAGGTTGAATATTAAAACCATTTAATTTCCAGTTGAAAACAACAGTGAGGTTAAAGTAGTAAATATATACCACTTAAAAATCTGTCAAAAAATTTATGAAAAGTATTTCGTCTCTTAATAAGCATCCAACATTTCTTTTGATTAAAGTTAGAATTCTGAGAAAAAAGTCAGAATTCTGAGAAAAAAGTCAGAATTCTGAGATTAAAGTCAGAATTCTGGGAAAAAAGTGAATTCTGAGAAAAAAGTCAGAATTTTGGGATTCAAGTCAGATTTATGCGAAAAAAAAGTCAAAATTCTGGGATTAAAGTCAGAATTCTGGGGGGAAAAAGTGAATTCTGAGAAAAAAGTCAGAATTCTGGGATTCAAGTCAGATTTCTGAGGAAAAAAGTCAAAATTCTGGGATTAAAGTCAGAATTCTGGGGAAAAAAGTCAAAATTTGTGGATTAAAGTCAGAATTCTAAGAATAAAGTCAGAATTCTGGGAAAAAAGTCAGAATTCCGGGAAAAAAGTCAGAATTCTGAGATTGAAGTCAGAATTCTGGGGAAAAAAAGGTCAAAATTCTTATTCTGAGATTAAAGTCAGACTTCTGGGAAAAAAGTCAGAATTCTGGGTAAAAAGTCAGAATTCTGGGATTAAAGTCGGAATTCTGAGAAAAAAGTCAAAATTCGTAGATTAAAGTCAGAATTCTGAGAAAAAAGCCAGAATTCTGAGAAAAAAGTCAGAATTCGTAGATTACAGTCAGAATTCTGGAGAAAAAAAAAGTCATAATTCTGGGATTACAGTCAAAATTCTGAGGAAAAAGTCAGAATTCTGAGAAAACAGTCAGAATTCGTAGATCAAAGTCAGAATTCTGAGAGAAAAATTCTGAATACTGAGATTAAAGTCAGAATTCTGAGAATAAAGTAAGAATTCTGGGGGGGGGGGGGGGGGGGGGGGGGGGAATCAGAATTCTGGGACTAAAGTCAGAATTCTTAGATTAAAGCCAGAATTCTGGGATTAAAGTCCGAATTCTGAAAAAAAAGCCAGAATTCTGAGAAAAAAGTCAGAACTCGAAGATTACTGTCAGAATTCCGAGGAAAGATTCTGAATTCGTAGATTAAAGTCAAAATTCTTAAATTAAAGCCAGAATCCTGGGGGACAAAAGTCAGAGTTCTAAGAAAACAGTCAGAATGTATAGATTAAAGACAGAATTCTGAAAATAAAGTCAAAATTTTTAAATTAAAGTCAGAATTCTGAGAAAAAAAGTCTGAATACTGAGTTTAAAGTCAGAATTCTGAGTCAAAATTGTTACTTTTTCCTCATATAATACTGAAATAAAATTAGTAATCATTTACGTTTTTTTTTTCAGTGGCCCTAATCCTCTTCCGTACCTGACCTGACGTTACCTGAGGAACTTTTTAAGAGTTTTCAAATTAAAGGCAAAAACAAAGATAAATGTAATATATTCTGAAGCTAATAACAGAAGCGTGGTCATATAAAGCTTTCAGTGAATCTAACTGCTTCCTCTCAGTGACTTCATCCGTGACCAGCCACTGAATATTCAATGAAAAGCAACGGGACTTCTCGGTTTACGACAGTGTGGGAACGGTGGGCAAGATGGCGGCGCTGAAGGAGGAGCGGAGCTACGGACTGTCCTGTGGAAGAGTGAGCAACGGCAGTAATGTCACCGTCTTTCACGTTAAACTCACTGACAGCGCTTTGAGGGCGTTGGAAGGCTTTCAGAGCAGCAAGGTAAATGTGTTGTTTGTCACAGCTCGCCATTCTCATCGGGGTCTGAACTCTTTCTTCCCCCCCTGTCGGCAGTGACAGACAGGCAGAGGGAGGTCAGTCACCGCTCTGTCTACCGCTGCCTTTAAACCTTAGAAGCCTGCTTTCTGTCCAGCTTTTGGAGTTGGGTGTGTTGTAGCGGGGCTTTGGTTCGGACTCCCCGCCGATTGTGTGACACCATAACTATCGCATTTGTTCACCACAGAACCTGGAAGCTCATTTCATCCCGTTAAGGGGTTCCGTTCGGTTTGCGCAACAGTTCTAACTCAACTCGCCCCCAAACATCTGTCGGGAGAATAATCTGGGCTGTCATGAGCAGATGCTTCCAGAAACTTTGTTGAGGTGAACAGGAATATTTGCTAGCAGAACCAGTCATGGTGGGATCTTTAAATCCATCGTTTCTAATCTAACACCTTTTAAAAGTCAGCGGAAACGGATAATTTGGTCGACTTGTCAAATGACGCCGTGAATAATTAGGGAAGAGCAGGCAGCAGTCATGCGAAAAGTGCGTATTTCATCCCCCCAACCCCCTCAGTCAGGGTAAGGGCTCACAGCTTGGGAATTACGTAAAACCTAACATTTGTTTTTTATTCAATGTACTCATTTCCACAATGTTTTTAAATAAGCAGTGGCTGTATACCTTCCTGCTCTCTGGTTCTCTGCTCAGAGCTTTAAGGCTGTTCTGTGGCCATCTAACGTTTCAGCTTCTATAAATATTTGACAGGGAAGACCTGGCAGGCTGGAGGAAAAGGGCCTTATCTCCACAACAGGACTGCAGCTGATAAACCAAAACAAGTAGACTGGAACAGGTAAACTGGGTCTTAGGAAGAGTCATTTTTCTCATAAATAAGCATGACCAAATTACAAGTTTACCAAGAATGTTGAACTTTATCTCTTCGGTGCTACCAAGCAACTTTAGACTTGGAAAATACTCTTAAAACTACTTGCTACACTTGCTATGCAATATCAGTTAAACTCTTTATGCAAAGTGTCACATGGAGAGCATCATGTCATTGTGGCTCCAGTGGCGGAGCTAGATGGGGGGGCCAGGGGTGGCTATGGCCCCCATTAGTCTATCGTTGGCCACCGCTGTGGCCAACCCTACCATTCTTCCCTCCTAATACAGATATTGGCAGCAGTAATACTCTCACGTGGAATATTCAAAACTAGGGCTGGGTATTTGCGCCAAAGTCCTGAATCAATTAGATTTTGATTCATACAGCTCTAAATCGATTAATTTGATTCAATCTGTTTATGCAATAATCAAAGGCTATGTTCACATTGCAGCCTGAAGTGACCCAAATCCGATTTTTTTTTTGGACCATATGCGACCTGGATCTGATCTTTTCATGGCAGTCGGAACAACACAGATCCGATTTTTTCCAATCCGACCCAGGCCACTTGGCTATGCGGTTCTGAATCCGATATGAAACTGGTCTTTTCAAATGCGACCTTTGTCTGAACGGCCAGGTCGCATTCATCCGACCTGAATGCCATTAATAGTCGACAAAGGTCACTATTGTGCGTCTTGCTACACAGAAGCGGCAAAAACAAACAACAACCATGGGGAACGATAATGCAGAGGGCAGTATTTATGTTTAACCATATTAAAAATAATTAGTTTTTATGGTTGGAAAAGATCGCTAGATGCGCGCCGGCACTACCATCCATGTTTACTATACTCATGTATTTTATGTTTTTCCTGTCATATTAAACACTAAGTGCAAACTTGTAAATCAGTTTAAACTTGAAATGTGAACAAAACTGTCTCAAAAGTGCAAACTTGTTTGTGAAAAGTGAAAAAGTGAAGCCTCGCACGAGCAAGCAGACGGGACACAGCAGACGTGCATGAGCTGCGTTATCTTCACTGCACAAACCGTATTTGCAGCGTTGTCTGTAACAACTACAGGGTGTTTGCTGGTCAGCCCCCATTTGTTAATGTCTTCAGTTAACCTATTGGCTATATTGCAGGTGTCTGTCTGGCTTGAAGTAATCTTGGTGGTCTGTAACACGAGATGCAAGGCGCCACTCATTATCAATGTAGTGGGATGTCACCTTAATGTCACATATCCAGCATATTATCTTTAGCTGTTTTAAATCAAAATTGGTTCCAGAAATCAGACTTCAGTTGGGACAGCTTGCTGAGTGGCGTGTTATTTGGGTTGGCATTTGCACACGCCTGCTCATTTGAATGTGAACTTCATGTGCATCACTATAAAAGTAATCAGTCTCATTCCCTACACATGAATTTTGCTAAAATGTCTATTTTACTGGTCTATTCACTTTCAAAGTGAATAGACCAGTATCAGTTGTTGCAGGCTAACAAAGAACCCAAACGACTCCCCATCCTGATTGGGCGGACCTGTTCTTCCTATTCAATTTGCATGTTTTTTAAGCCAAAACAAGGCTTTGTTTTGGGCTACTCTATAAAGCCTCGAACTCAATGCTAGTTCTGACATTTTGAATTGAAAAAGCTTCCTGGATGGGAAGCAAAACGTCTTCAAACTTGGAAACAAAGTCCAGTGGATTGTTTAACTTTTTTTGTCATGACTATGACCCGGATGACTGAGAATCTTCACCAGATACTTGTAAGGAAGCCAATGCGTAGTAAGTGTACTTTATTGTTTCACCCCTTTGTCATGTTTATCGAATGTAAGCAGAGTTGTTCTGGCTTGTTAGGTCTATAGACTGCCGCGGTGTGTCGTCCGTACATTGCACTCAATGGTATCCCGTTTCCAGTTGCCAAAAAAACAGCTGAGCAGTCTAAAGTCGATTTTGGGCCTGGGCCTTTAACGAGTCGTTTTCACGCAGGTCAAGGGGGGTCAGTGAGCTGTTCCCTCTGCCACTAAATGCAGATTGTTCCCGGGTTTAAATGGGTTTTCAGCCTGTGGGAAAGGGGTAAATAAGTTAAGATTTGAAGATCGGCTGCAGGTTGAAGACTCCTGCAACCATCAACATTTGAGAGTAGTAGGAATAAAAATGCTGTGGCTGAGCAGTAAGATAGAGCTTATTGGGGTCAGTTTGGACTAAATGGACCACATTTTCACTGGGGAAAAAATATCTACGAGTGACAAATATGCACAAAAATGAATTGGATTGATGGACTAAAACGGCCGCAAGTCATGCAATATGAAAATAAATTAAAGTTAACCTGTGCTATTACTCCACATTTGACCTCCTACTCTTCATTTTTCTTCTTTAAAATGTCTCCATCAATCTTGGTTTGGGGTTTATATCAGGTGTGAGCATAATGAATACTGGGAAGCAAAATATGGCGGCTGAAATATGCCAGACCATTCATACAAAACTTCATATACCATATAGTGAAATTATATAATTAGTCAATTCTGTTGATACAAAAAGATTGGCAATAAACCCAGCTAGTAACGCTTAAGTAACCCAACTCGAATGCTTATGAATTCATGGTCAAATCTAAAAGGAAATATCAGCGTATAGTCCCACCGTGGGGAAAGCTGCCCTCTGTGTGTAACCCATCTTGCCACGCTGTGTAGCATTCTGGGGTTCGGGGTCCTGCTCAGAGCCAACAGTAACAGTCTGAGGTTGGAACCAGCAATCTTGCGGTCTCGTCGCGATGCAAACGCCCTGCTCTCTAACCACCAGTTCCGCGCTTCCGCAATTATGACATAGGAGTTCCTCATATTCCATACATTTTAGTTATCCGTAAAAATGGGATTTCTTCCTTTTCATTCTTTTAATATCCATACTTCATTACCTAGTTTCTGTTTTTTATTCTAACAATAGCTGAGAACTGTCTTTAAATAAAATCTAGAATAAAGTCTGAGTTCTTGGGGTAAAATAATCTTGACTTGACATGCGATCAGAGATGTTGCTGCTGCTGCTTCTTTCCATGTTGATAGTTATTTTATTTAGAGTTAAAAAGTCATTGGGTTGTTTTAAAACTGAAATATGGCTAAAAAAATATCTGTTATTTTTCATCTTGGTCGTTGCCTGAACCTAGTCCTGCTCGGATAGTCCATGCATTCTTGCTGATGTAGGCACAGCTAATGATTTCACAGGAACCTTTGTGTCGTTTTTTACATTCAGAAAATAAAACCCAAAACACTTCTGTGATCTTTTGGCTTTACTGTAGAAGAAGACATTTTACGATGCAGAGAAATTAGTTTTTTTTGTTTAACTTTGTGCAACTGTTTGAAGAACATCAAGCATAGATAACAGAAGCTGATAACCTGGAGAGTCGTACGCTTCAGCCAGACCAGACAGTGAAAAAACAAGTTTGTGATTTTCATCCGAAGCAGATAAGCAGTCTTTGCAGCCGCAGTTTCCACATTCATTATAGGTTAACCATGTCTTTATGCCTTTCCTAGTTATTACTCTTAGAAACAGCTACGCGGTGTTGTGGGACGGGCTATGGCACATAACTGACTGGGTCTGTGAAGGGGCTAATTTTGAGAAAAGTGCTCATCATGGTGGTGTGAAAAATGGGTATCTGGAGGACCCTGGATTGTGCTTTGGTCACTTTTTGCCATTTTTGGTAATCTTGTAGATCTGTGTTTGAATTACAGGTAAAATGATCGTAAATTACTGTAATTTCAGATGATGGGGAATATTCATGCAAATGTTGAAGCTCTTTGTCATTATAATTTTATTAAAAGGCCATGAAGTCGAGTCTAAAATGCTCTCAAAGGGAAACTTGGTGATGCATGTCAGACCGACATCTTCAAAGTATTTCTCTTTAAGCATAACTGAACTCTATTAACACTGAACTTCATCTGTTGCGGATGGAGGCCATTTGCAATTGGATGGAATGTTATTCATCAGTAAAATCTTTTTGTTTTAGACATTGCAACACCCTAGACTTGACTGTGAATTGCTTTCAGTGTGACTCAGGTATTTTCTAGGGGATTTGCTGTAGCTTTGTCATAACCCGAACACCGGCTGGTACGCACGCAGCTGCAGCAGCGGGTTGGATGAGGTGAGGAGTT